CATTTGATTCCAGGAAGAAAATAACAAAATACTCTACGACTTGAGGTCTGAATTTTGGGGTAAAGAGTGTTCTCTTACTGAATTCTCTTCCTGGAACATCAAGGAGGAGTCAAGTCTAGGGGCATCACTTTCTTTCTGTTTCTTTATAAAAGAAGCAGAGTCCAAAGGAGAAGATAGGTCACAGACTAGGAGAAAATATTTGCAAAACACACATCCTGAAAAAGGACTGTTAGCCAAAATGTACAAAGAACTCTTCAAACTCAACAATCAGGAAGCACCTCATTTAAAAATGGCCAAACACCTTTACAGACACTCACAAAAGAAGATACATATTTGCTAAATAAACATAGGAAAAGATGCTCTGCATGGTACGTCATCAGGGAAATGCTGGTGAAAACATCAAGGAGATACACGTGTAAGAGCGGTCAAAACCCAAGACACCAACGACACCAAGCCCAGGTGAGGACGCAGAGTGGCAGGACCTCTCATTCACTGCTGATGGGAATGCAAAGTGGTACCGCCTCTTTGGACGACTGGCAATTTCTTACGAAACCAAACGTATTCTTACTATGTGATCCAGCAATCACACTCCTTGGTGTTTATCCACAGGAGCTGAAACCTTATGTCCACATAAAAATCTGCACGCAGATGTTTATAGCAGCTTTATCGTAGCTGCCAAAACTTGGAATCAACCAGGATGTCCTTCAGTAGGTGAACGGATAAACTGTGGTGCATCCAGACAATGGAATATTATTCAGCACTAAAAAGACATGAGCCATCAATCCACGAAAAGACTTGCAAGAAATGTAAATGCAAATTACTAAGTGAAAGGAGGCAGTGTGAAAAGGCTACATAAATACTGTATGACCCAACTATTATAACATTCTGGAAAAGGCAAAACCTTACAAAAACAGAAAAAAAAAAAAAAATCAGTGGTTTCCAGGGGTCAGAGTCAGGGAAAGGCTGAATGCACAGAGCACAGAGGATTTTTTAGGGTAGTGAAACTACCTGTGTATGATACTATTATAATAGATACATGTCATTGCATTGAATGTGTAACACCAAGAGTCAGCCCAATTAAAAGTAAAGTACAATTTTAATTTACCAATCAAAAGTAAAGTACAAACTTTGGGTAACAGCAATGTGTCAATGTAGGTTATACAATTATAAAAAATGTATCAGTCTGGTGGGGTGATATTGGTAATGGAAGGAGACCAGGCACATGTAGGGGCAGAGACATGCTGGAAATCTCTGTACCTTCCTCTCTGTTTGGCTGTGAAGCTAAAACTGCTCTTAAAAAATTAAGTGTTAAACACATACAAACACATGTGTGTATGCACGCACGCACGTGCACACACACACGCACATGCACACACACACACACACACACACACAGACGAAAGAGAAAGAGAGCTAGAACTGGGTTAGCATTGAACGAGGAGGCATTGTCACCAGCCAAGGGAGGGCAGCTTGATCTTAAAAGCCTGCAATAAATAATTTAGGCTGAAAAAAAAATATGCAATGTCATCACCTGAGAAGATGCAGCCCTGAATTTGGGTGGTTCATCATTATCAAGCCATCAGTTTAGTAAGAATAACAACTGTATAACAACAACAACAACAACTGAGATATCTTGAGCACCTATTATGTGCAAGCACTGTTTCAGGCAAGTTAAATACATCAAACTCACTGAATCGTCACAAAACCCTATAAAGTAGATCCTATTGCCAATCTCCATTTTGCAGACAAGGAAACCGAGGCTCAGAGAAGTGAGGCAACTTTCCGCAAATCATCCTACTAAGACTCAAACCCAGGCCACCGGACTCCAGAGTGCATGCTGCTCCTGTATCACTGCGACTGTAATTTGCGGCCAGTGCTGGGAAGGAGAATGTCAGGATACACAGTAACAACAACTAACAGTGGTCCAGGACTTACGGAGAGCTGGTTGCTTTACCAGCTTTATGTCACTTAGTCCTCACATACACACACACCAAGTGTTATCACCCTCATCCACATACGGGAAACTCGGAGAATTTACGACCTGCCCAAGGTCACTAGCTGATAAATGACATACCAGTGGCCAAACCCTCGTGGCCAGACGCCAGCGCCCACACCATCATTTCTCACACCATGCTGCCTCTCTGTGGGAAGCAGTCTATGGTACTCTAAGCAACCTACCAGGTGCCTGAAGACATGGAAAGCAGACCCGCCCCATGGCATAACCTCTTTTCCCAAGACCGTGTGTGAAAGGCAGTATGGTGTAGCAGAACGAGTGTAGACCTTGAAACCAGACAGAGCTGGGTTGGAATCCCAGCTCCAGCAATGATTACTGTGTAACCTAGGATATGGCTCTCCAAGCCTGTTTCCTGATGCGTACGAACAGGATGAAACTGCTCTCTAACCACCATGGTGACCACAAAGGTCAGAAGAAACAGCATGTGGAAATGCTGGTCCCTGGAGACCTTCCCGTCATCCACCTCCCCGGATCCATTTCCTTGCCCACAAAGGGGGCCCCCTGAGTGCATGGAAAGTCTTCCCTGCCCTTCTTGGGCTGAGTCATAGCACCTTCTTGGCAAACACTGAAAGCAAAATTGCACAAACACGAACTCTCCAGATTAGGAGGACCATGTTCCCTCGACTCCCAGCATTTGCCCGGGGAGCTGTCAGGAGCCATGACAGCTCTGTTACGAGACTGCCAGGCACCAAGGTGGCAGAGAGACCAAGGGGACATGAAATTATTACTGACACTGCCAATTTGGCCTGACAGGGACCCAGGTTTTCTGTTGAGAATACCACAAAACAAATCAATGTCGTGGGTATGTTTACATCAACTGGGGACTGTATGGTTTGGTTGGAGGCTTGAGGTCTGTTTTGGTTTTTGCCCTTATTTAAAAAAAAATAAAGAAATTTTAAAAAGCAACTAAACTGGGGCACCTGGGTGGCTCCTTCAGTGAAGCGTCTGACTTCGGCTCAGGTCATGATCTCATGGTCTGTGAGTTGGAGCCCCGCCTCGGGCTCTGTGCTGACAGCTCAGAGCCTGGAGCCTGCTTCAGATTCTGTGTCTCCCTCTCTCTCTGCCCCTCCCCTGCTCACACTCTGTCTCATTCAAAAATAAATAAAACATTAAAAAAAAATTTTTTTTAATAAAAAATAAAAAAAAGCAACTAAACTTCTGTTGGTGTTTAAAAACTTTGGGTAGGGGTGCCTGGGTGGTTCAGTCGGTTGAGCATCCGACTTCAGCCCAGGTCGTGATCTTGCAGTCTATGAGTTTGAGCCCCACGTTGGGATCTGTGCTGACAGCTCAGAGCCTGGAGCCTGTTTCAGATTCTGTGTCTCCCTCTCTCTCTGACCCTCCCCCGTTCATGCTCTGTCTCTCTCTGTCTCAAAAATAAATAAAACGTTAAAAAAAATTTTTTTAAATAAATTAAAATAAAAACTTTGGGTAATATTCTTGTTCCTCAAGTTACTCCTTCTGCTTGTACATACGCAGCCTCTTTGGGTTCCCTAACAATCACACCTGACGCATTTTAATTATTTTCAGTGGCCCCTTAGTTAAGCAGAAATGGAGAAAAAAAACTTTAAAAGCTTCCAGAAGTGAGTCTTTATTGCAGATGTTTTCTTTATTTTAATGTCCCAATCTTATTAATAGTGGCTTTGAATGAGGGCCGGCAAACCACACAGCCCAGAGGCTACATCTGGCCCTTTGCCTTTTTTTGCAAATAAAGTTTTATTGGGACACAGTTATGTCCATGTGTTTGTGTGTTGTCTAGGGCTGCTTTTGTGCTGCCAACGCAGGGTTGAGTAGTGGTCACAGAGACTATCTGTACCTGCAAAGTTTAAAATATTTGCTCTCTGGATCTTTATAGAACATGTCTGCCAACCCTTACTTTAAAGCTAGTACCGGGGAAGAGAACCACACGAGGCATTTCATAGCACTCGTCTCTACAGTAATTACATAACCCTCTGTGTTTGTCTGTCAACGCATCATTAACACAATGCCTGTTTGTCCTGCTGTGTGTAAGTTCTTTGAGAGGCAGGGACTATGTCTGTCTAGTTCAATATTTTCTCCCCAAGGGCTGAGCACAGAGACTGGCACACAGTATATGCATAATAAATATTTGTTGAATGAATGAGCTAAGTTGCTAGATAGATTTTTAGTTCTTGAGGGTTAAGAACATGACTCAGAGCAAGTTCACAATAACTGTATGTTCGTTAAATAATCAATCATACGGACTTCAAGTTTAGAGAATGGATATGTTTTGCAAGACATTTAATGATCGAGGCAAATCCTTGTCTGTATTATGATCAGTCTCTTCTACACCACGCCATTCGTGCCAACCTCTCTCTACACAAAATCCTCTGTCTCAGGCTCTGACATCTGATGCTTGGTTCTGATGTTGCTAGTCTCATTACTGATTTGCAAGGCTGGTCTTGCCTCCTGTACAATTCATCTGTGCTTCACAGTGTGATTCCCAGTGGCCTGCAGGGGCTCTGGGGGTGTGCTCAGCCCAGCGTACATCCCCAAGGCACGCGGGCAGTCAGCCCACTAACACTTACATACAAGAGAAACCAGGAGCAGGTGCCATTGGATTCTAGAAGGACACAGAGAGGACAGAGAGGAAGAGGCCTCTGGCCTACCACTCGCAAAATGTATTTGTCATTTGGATGTAGAAGACAGTTGGTTTTAATACGAAGATGAGAGAAATGTGACTCTCAAAAAGGCAATGAGATTTGGAAAAAGAACCAAGAAGTTGAGATTCAGGAAGACCTAAGCAGGGATCCAAGCTCCAATACTTACTAGCTGGGTAAACTTGAGCCAAATAATTTTCTCTGAGACAAAAATATCTTAAAGGCAAAATGGATGTAAAGTGATAGCATCGCAAGGGAATTGTCATAGATTTAAGGTGTCTAATAGTAACAGGTGCTATACAAGTTTTACTGCTCTTCCCCCTTCATAATTTAATGCCACAGAGAGAATGATCTTTGGAAATTTTACTTACCGAGCATTCCTTTTTTGGAACTGGACAGACACATGTCCTTCTCTGCACTGGGCAGGACAAAACTCACCACGAACACCTCCACTCCGTCGGCCATCAGAGCCAAACCCAAAACGAAAAAGAGGATCCACTGGAAACGCCCGTGGCCACACTCCTCGATGATGTTCTCGTACTGGTGGGCCAACTGCTCCTCGTCTTCCAACCTCTCAGCCATCAGGTCAGCTTGGCCCCGAAGGCCATCGGCTCTGGAGGGTGCCATCTTGGCCTGCTTGGCCTTGACATCATCTGGGTGAGGGATGCCTTGGTACTCCCCCTCATAGATCTCATCCTCTTCATCGTGGCCCTCTGTAACATCACTCTGTGCATCCTCCTCTGGGTTGGACTCGTTGCCACGGTAATAGCCATCACTGGGGGCATGGCCCTCATAGTTGTCCTGGTACTTGTAGTCATCCATTCCTTAGTCCTGGGACTGCCTGGTCACCTCTCAAGCTATATGTCTCACTCCTTGGTAGAGGTTTGGGCTGTTTCAATAACCATCACCCATTATATATGTAGAGGTCTAAATGTAGAATCTGTTCGTGTGACACCTTGGGTGATTCTCCTTCTCGTCTCCCAAATAGAGCAGACGCAGGCAAAGACAAAGTAAGTATCCTTTTGCACTCAATGTCTATTGCAAGTCTTTGGAAAGTTTCAAATTCTAGTCTAGTCTCCTTCAGTGACCCAGCAGTGTTTTTGTGGGGGAGATGTTGATTAGAAATGGGGCCAGCTGTTTTCCTTGACAAGGAGCCCACAGGACTTGGCAGCGTGCTGGCTGGCCTGATTTGTTCTGCTACTGAAGGTTATGCCCTGGGAGTGCAGAGAAGGGAGAGAGCAGTGTTACAAAATGCAGAAATTCTCACAAAATACTCTCAGAATTAAACAAATATATTTACTAATGCCAGTGCTTCAGGGGTTAGGTGGAGGAAATCTTGATTAGACGTTCAGATTGGTATCGAATGAATAAGGACTGAATCAGTGAGACAAAGAGTAAGGGGAGAAAAAGCAGAGGGTCAGAGAGGCCTTTGAAGGGTTGATGAGCCTGTGAAGGGCGTCAACTCAACACAAGGACTAAACAGAAAGCAGGCAAGGGATTCTCAATACAAGGCGATTTTGTACTACAGATTTTCTGTTAGAATTTACCAAACCTTTGGCAACAGGGTAGGTTTCTTACATACCAGCTTCTGTTAGGAAAATGCCAGCTTTTCTAACTTTGCTATGAAGCGGCCATATGATTTTACATCTAGAAAGGTGAGGCAAATATCCAGGACCATTTCTCCAAAGACTCAGCACTGTGGTTTGAAGGCCACTCTGACCCTGGACTTGACTTAACTAGGCAGGAAAAGCTGCTGAAGACCCAGAGCCAGAGGGCTTGAGTCTGCCACATAAGGACTGTGTGACCATGCTCACATCTTTCTGAGCCTCAGGTTTCTCATCTGTAAATGGGGATAACAAGAGTACCTAACTCATAAGGTTGTTCATAAAATGCTTAGCACAGAATCAGACCTGCATGGTAAACACTATTGAGGCCCTGACATTATTGTTGCTCTTTTTTTTTTTTTTTTTTGGTAGCCCCAATTCTAGAAACTGGGACACTGTATTGTCAGAGCCAGGTCAAATCCCTGGGGCCACCTGTTGATTCTTATGCCCCATGACTACCACACCCTGCACCAATTAAATTCTTGAATCTCAGTTCTCACAAGGTTTGGAGTCACCACTTAATGAAGCCTACTGTGTGCCAGAAACTGTGCTTAAATGTGTCACATCCCTGGGGCACCTGGGTGGCTCAGTCGGTTCAACGGCCGACTTCAGCTCAAGTCATGATCTTGCAGTTGATGAGTTCGAGCCCCGTGTCAGGCTCTGTGCTGACAGCTCAGAGCCTGGAGCCTGCTACTGATTCTGTGTCTCCCTCTCTCTCTCTGCCTGTCCCCTGTTCATGCTGTGTCTCTCTCCATCTCAAAAATAAAGATAAACATTAAAAAAAATTTTTTTTAATGTGTCACATCCCTTAGCCCTAACTCTCACAACAATCAAAACAAGAAGAAAGTATTTGTACTTTCGTTTTACAGATAAAGAAACTATGGCTCAGATGGAGTCAGGTCAAGGTCAAATAGCTAGGACCCAACGCCAGGCCCACTGATTCCCAAGGTCAGTTCTTTCCATGGCCCCTGTGCCTTCCAAATGCTATTCAGAGGGAGTGTCACATTAGATCACCCGGAGGGCTTTAGAATGCAGATTCCCAGAGCACACAGAGGGGCTGGTTCAAGTTCAGGAATCTTAATCTTCACACAGCTCCCTGGGGTGGGGGGGCTCCCCAGCTTCTCATTGGGCAGCCCTCAGGGGTGGAGGCAAGGCCCCTCCCACACACAGGACCTCACTTCAACTCTCCCTGGCTGCCAGACTCCTTCATTGGGGCCGCCAGAAACCCACTCCCCAGCTCAACCCACCTGCTGTCATGTATATGTGCCTTCAACCTTTACAACCTTCCCTGTCCCATCTGAAATCCACATGGACCTTTCTCACCAAGCTCAGCAGATGCTACCCCACAAAGGACTGCACACACTTATCCTCACCGTGCTGACGGCACATCTCTGGGCGCCCCGCCCCACACCTGCTTGCCCAGCTCTTCTCACCTTCAGCCCTGAACAGACTCCAGTTCTGGAACTCATCTGACTCAAAAACAAAACATATGTCTTCTGGACGAAGCCGGAGACCAGGGGTTCTCAAACGAAGGGTGAGCCAGAATGACAGGGGCTTGAGGGACTTACTAGAAATGCAAATCCCAGGACCCCCCCTCCAAAGACTCTGAACCTGCAAAGTGGGGGTGGTACCTGAAAATCTGCATTTTCCACAAACACCGCAAGGACTCCACCAGTGGGCTGCCTTCTCAGAAAGGATCATGAGAGTTAGCAAGAAAGATTTACTAAGGACTGATTCTCACTTTATCTTTTCAGATTTTTCACCCACCCCAGTAAATAAATTTGTATTAGACCATGCTGGCCTGAACCATGTCAGAATAATATTCTAAATCTGTTTTTATTATATCCATTTAGGAACCACAGAAGGACTATAAATCGCATGTTTACAGCATGAGAGTTTTGCAAAGTGCTATAAAAAAAAAAAACAGAGAAAGAATGCCAACTGCCTGAGATCTTGTGTGTTATTTCCATCCTGGGGGCTCTGCAAAAATGTCATGAACCAGAAACGATAGATTTGCAATTCTAAAAGTACACGTGGGAACTGTCTCGAGGGGCAGAGGTCCTGGACTCGTGTTTTGCAGAAAGACGCAGATCTTCCTCAAAGCTGATTCCACTCATCTGATCCAGGGAAATGAGCTGCTGTGAGTGACTAGTGCAGAAGAGTAGGGAGGAACCCCTGTCAGGTGTTGTGGGTTGTTTTCTCTTCCATTGAGAAATGCCAAGTTATTTTTCCAGCAAAGCATTTTCTAGAGAATACAACCATCAATCACTTTCAGTGCGATGGGCGGAAACGTGATCCCCCAAGAAGGTGCACCGAAGCCATAAACCCCAGTACTTCAGAATGTGACCTTATTTGGAAATATGGTCTTTATAGAAGTAATTGGGTCAAGAGGAGGTCATTGGGGTGGGCTCTAATCCAGTATGACTGGTGTGACCTTATAAAGAAGGGAAATGTGGACTCAGAGACCCATCTGAAGAGAGAGATGAGGTCAAGACACAGGGAGCGTGCCATCCATAAGCCAAGGAATGCCTGAGGCTAACAGAGAAGACTGGAACAGTCTCCCTCACTGGCCTTGGAAGGAACCAACCCTGATTGTGGATTTCTAGCCTTCAGACCCATGAGACAGTGAATTTCTTTAAGCCACCCAAGTTGTTGAACTTGGTTATGGCAGCCCCAGTAAACTAACACATTCAACACCATTGACAAGCCAAGCGTTTATCAACTGAAGAACAATAATAAAATAACCACAAGAGCAACCATTCACTGAAAAGCAATACCTCATTTATTCTCACAGCCAACAGTGAAGCAAGATTATTCTCTCCATTTCATGTAGGATGAAAGCCAAGGCTTCAAGGAAATTAAAGAATGTGTCCAAATAAACACAGAGAACCAGCATCAAGGATTGGATTTGAAGTTCACAAAGAGCCTTAAGGATGATGTACAAGGTGGAAGACACTGGACTCCAAAGATACAAGTTCAAGGTCACACGCTGAGTTGCCTGCAGAGCTAAGAGTGACATCAAGCTTCTGACTCACAGGTTGGGCTTTGGGTGCCTATCCCCCACAAATATCCCCCAGGATCTTTGGTGCTTGAGGCATTGTGATAGATACCGACCTGACCTGAGCCCCATTCTCAAGAGGTCTGCTCCTCATGAAAGAGTCAGATAAAACAACACAAAGCATCATACAGTAATAAAAATGACAATCTTAATTATTAACAATATTATCTTTTATTTATTGAATACTTGCCTCGTGGTTTTGTGCCCAGGTGCTATGCTAAGTGTATCATGTGCTTTAGGCCTTTTAACCAGGACAACAACCCAATGAGGCAAGGATTATTATTATACTTATTTCACAGTAAACAAGACTGATGCTAAAAACATCATGATTGTAGGCTCTCCCAAGGAGTTCAGAAGAGGGACGGGTCCTCGTGGGCTGGGATGTGCTGAAATAGCATCCTGGGGACTTCCAAGGGCAGGAAAGGGCTCAAAGAAGCCAGCAATTGAGAGGAAGGCACTTCGGGCTGGGAAATAAGGATCAGCAAAGTCATGGAGAACAACTTGGCTTAGCTTGTCTGGGCAGCAAAGAAGCACGTGCCCACAGCAGATGATGCATGAAGGAAAACTTACAGGAGACACAGTGGGGAAGAAAAGAGCAGTCGATCTGAATGCCCTGCTCAGGGACTGGGAATTTTCCATTGAGCGAAGGGAGCCATGACAGTTGCTGAAGTGACCACAGCAGCATATCACACAAAGCAGGGATCTAGAATGATCTCCCTGGTGGGGATATGCGGCCTAGTTTTTAAGATAAAACCTAGGGATGACAAAACTAAGTAGAAGTGTGTGTGTGTGTGTGTGTGTGTGTGTGTGTGTGTGTGTGTGGTTGGTAATAATCCAAAGGTGAGATTAAGCCCAGAAAAAGATGGTAGCCATGGGACTGGAAGAGAAGGAAGGACACAAGGAGACTCCCACAGGAGAACACGTGTACATTTCCTGTCAGCTGAGAAGGAGAAAGTGAGGTGACCAGGACAGTGGTGACTCCAGGGGGGCAAACTCTGGACTGGAAATCTTTCCAGAATCCTCCGGTTGCTGTATAATTAAAACAACAACGACAAAAATCTTTTGACTTCTTTCAAACTGCCTTTGCCGGGGGGAGGTGGGAGGGAGGTATATGCAACAGAGTGGTTCAAGAGCACAAACTCGGAGTCATAAGGCGCCAG